TTTTCACTGTTTCGCGTAGTCTAGATGAGCCCTTAGAGTAAAGAGGAGCCTATCACATATTTTACTTGCTGTATTACAGTGCCATAGAAAGCACCACATGGAATCACAGGTTTGCTACAAACAAGAATGTGCCATCTCACCATGTGTCTTCTATTTTGTCATTTTCTTGACATTTTGTAGTAGGGGGAGGCAACCACCCTCTGCTACTGTTTCGCGTAGTCTAGATGAGCCCTTAGAGTAAAGAGGAGCCTATCACATATTTTACTTGCTGTATTACAGTGCCATAGAAAGCACCACATGGAATCACAGGTTTGCTACAAACAAGAATGTGCCATCTCACCATGTGTCTTCTATTTTGTCATTTTCTTGACATTTTGTAGTAGGGGGAGGCAACCACCCTCTGCTGGTTCCCTATGATACGCTGACAGCCAAAGAGAAAGCCAAAGACCGAGAGAAAGCACAGGATATTCTCAAGTTTCTACAGATCAATGGATATGCTGTATCTAGGTAAATTCACAACCAATACTGAATTTACTTCAAAGCTAATAATTAAAGCTCTTCAATATCTTGTTTAATATAAAAGGATCTACATTTTATATTTAGATTCTTTTATATTATTTTATTTTATAAATGAGGATTTAGATCCTTGCACTGAGTTAAATGAGTGAGGAGTGGGGTTTTTTGTTTTGTTTATTTTCTTGGGTTTTTTTTTTGTTTTTTGCTTTGGAGAACAAATGAGTAGTAAGAGGTTTTTTTGTTTGTTTGTTTTTTGTTTTTTGTTTTTACTCGTGTGGCCCCCAACTGATTTTTCTGTGGATCAGTAGCCTACCTCTGATCTAAAATTGGTGGTAAGCTTAAGGTTAAAAAAAAAAGTTAATGACGGAAAGATTCTGCTTGGCCCTTACGTGAATACATGATAAGGACAGTTGGGGAGTAGAAACAGAAGCTTTCCCCAATCCTTATTAGATAGGACCCAGGCAGAATTTTAATCCCTGTATACTGAGAGATTCTGGTAGGTAGTCGGTACCAGTTACTCAGTGCTCATAGAATACTCCCCTGTATTTAAGTACTGTCAGCTCCATTGATTTCCCCTGCTCCATCTGATTTCTACTCTTTATTCCGCACTTGGGGAGGACTTCCAACCCCCTTCCACTCCCCTGGAGATGTCTTATCCTGGGGGTGGGGGAAACCTCAAGCTTGAAATTCTGCCCCTCCTGGTACCATGGAATTATTTCTGCCCATTGTTTCAGCTGGTCAGGACTCTCTTTGCCTCTAGGAAGGCCTGGTGAGATCCCCTCTGTGGCTTGGAGGTGGCCTATAAACTGATCCATGCTTCCACTAGGTTGTGTCTACACATCCCCAGCTGCTATTGCTGATCATCTGCCTCTTCCCTCATGGCTGGCCTTTGCTCTAGCTGTCACGACTGCTGCCCAGTCCCTAACTCGTAGTGTGCAGGGTGCCCTGCCTCTCCTCCTTCTGAGGGCATATGGGAGTTAGAATTGTCCGTAGTGGCTGCATCTCTAAGCTCCCCTGCACTTTTTCATTTCATACACTGCCACATTTTTCTCATCTATAGTTTGTTTTTGCAGAAATAGCAGTCTGCATACCTAAGAAGATGGGGTGTGTTGTGAGAGCTGGTCACCTCCCCTCATTGACCCTGGTTGAGAGGAAGAGACACTTTTCACCCTCCTTGAGACACATTCCAGCATGAGCTCTCCTTTTTCCATTCTCGGAGTTAGCCATTCCCTGCTGATCCAACCAAACTTCTTTTTACTGAGATGAGGAGAGGCATTTAAAATTCAAATTTGATTGTAGCTCAATATATGGCATTTTAAATAAAATTTACTGCTACATTTTAGTTAACAATCATAGGAAAGTACTCGTGTACTGTATAGTATGGTCAAAGGTAAAAAAAAATCAAAATTGGATGATGGGGCATCTTAATTCAATAAAAGAACCTAATCTTCAGAGGCCCTTTTCACTTAATTCTCTCTGAAAACTAAGGGTGTCATTTAGCTACCAGAATCTTAGGGTTAGAAGGGGCTTAAAGGGTTATCTACTTTAATCCTCTGCCAATATTCAAGATTTGTTTTGTGTCTAACAGCCAAGATATAAATAGGGATGTGGGTATCTAACCTCAGATATCCAGTTACGAACACTTTAGTCTATGATTTTAACTTAAGAATGAACTCCTGACTTTTTAGTGCCAATTTGACAAAAAAATTATGAAATAGGTTAAATAAAACTTGAGTTTCAATCTGCTGTTACTACTGAATGTTTTTTCTATGAATCTGGATATTTTGGTAGCTTCAAAATTACTCATCCTGGAAGGGCAAAGCTTGGGGGAAATATAAGATAACACATAACTGATTGAGAAAGAAGCTTAAAATATGGGATCAATATCTTCCGCAAAACTATCTTTTTCCTTAAGCCTTATTGATAAATCTGTATTTTTGTGTCATCAGCTAAAGTATCAGTAAAGGTATAAATAAGACAAATTAGTGAGTGAGAGCAAAAAATGTGGCTCCAAATAACAAATGTTTCTCATACTAACAGACAGTTGAGAAGTCTAGAGTTGGTAGCTTTTAGGCTATTCGGTGAATTAAGACTGCATTGGGTCATCCTTCATTGTGTGGGAAATGTATTTTTTGTTATTTCAGAGGATTAAAGGACCTGGAGTTAGACACCCCTTCCATTGAGAAACGTTTTGCTTACAGTTTCCTTCAGCAGCTGATAAGATATGTGGATGAAGCTCATCAGTACATTCTGGAGTTTGGTATAGTACTTACTTACATTTTTACTAAATATTCTGAACCAATGAAATTTGCATTGAAAAATTTAAACACAAATGTACAGTTTCCAAAAATACCATATTCTTAGGATGGATGGTCTTTTTTCTGAAGGATGCTAATAATTGTGTTTTTTGGAAGGTGTGGCTATAGTAGAATTTAGCATTGTATACATTGATTTAACATAATATCTGTGGGGTAGTCATTTCAAACTCACCTAGTCACTCCTTAGATATAGGCTTGAGACAAAAGGCACCCAGCCTACCTGTATGATAAATTACATAATTTAAATCGTCATCTTTAAGATTTCTGCTACTACTACTACTATAACAGCATGGTCTAGAGTCATAGAGAATCAGAGTTGTAGTGAGGAATACAAACTAAGTCTCCTGACACCATAGATAAAGCAGTAAGAACACTGCAGCTTTTGGTTTGTGGGGATATTCTGTATTCTGGATAGTTTTGTGCAGTGGGTGGCCACAAACCAATCACTTCAGATTCAAACCTATTAGAGAAGATCCCATTTTCTTATTCTTCCTGCCCTTGAACATCTTTCTTACAACTCCGTGTGACTCCAGCTGCCCACTGAAACTGATGGCCCCATCTTCCTGGGACACTAGTTGGACACTCCCTCAGAAAAATCTCTGCTACATCCTATTACCTTGGATATAAGAGAGATGTACAGGCTCTACTTAGCAGTCTCTGATATAACCCAGAGAAGATTCATTTGGCAGGCAGTGGGAGAGGGAGGGGCATCATGGCCTCATTGAAGACACCAGGAGGGACTTCTAGGGCTAGCCTAAAGGGAACCAGTGATTGGTGAGAGGGAGAGAGGGCTCACCATTTGCGGTGAAGAATTTACAATTTCCATACGATTTCATTTCCTCTCCTTAATTCACAAAACACAGTGAATCTCAAACCCAAATGTTGTCCAAGTCATTCAAGATTAACTATAAGCCAGGGGTGGCCAACTGTTAGACAGAGCCAAAATAGTGGTGGATGCAGCGTGAAGAGCCGAGGGGAAAAAGTTGTTGAACAAAAACAAAACAAAAAAAGGAAAAGGCCCTGGCTGCTGCTCTTTTAAGAGCAGAGCAGGCATTGCCCTTTTAAGGCAGCCATTTTGAAGTCTGCACGAGACGCCGCGACTCTGGATCTGTCTATTTCAGACAGAAACACACTGCTCCTTTCTGAGGTGCATGTCCAGGAGCTGTAATTTTTTTTTGAAGAGTCGCATGTGGCTCATGAGCCGCAGGTTGGCCACCCCTGTTATAAGCAGTTCACAAAACTCTAGTTCTCTGCTTTTACGAATAAGCATGCTACCCCTCAAAAGTGCATGTTTTTGCTTGTTCTGTATATTTTCAACATGTGTAATCTACTTTTAAAGGAGGAAATCAAGGTAGGCACCTGCTCTGCCATGTAAGTTCAACTGGCAGTAGAATCTGTGCACAGTGACTTCTGGTATATCCAGGAGCTTATGAAAAGAATGTCCTTCCTCCCCTCCTCCCCCAAGCATTTTCTGAGGCTGAGCACAGGGTTTGAGTGTCCAGTCATGTATGCATAACCCTAGAAATGCTATTGAAGAGAGAGAGCTCATCTAGGTGTGCCTTTCCAGCAAGATGGTGTTATGCCAACAGGAAAATAAAGCTTCAGAGGGGTAGCCAAGTTAGTCTGTAACTGGAAAATTGTGAAAAACAAGAAATAGTCTAGCAGCACCTTAAAGACTAACAAAACATGTAGATGGTATGAGCTTTTGTGTGTACAAAAAGCTCACGATACCCACAAAAGCTCACAATACCATCTACATGTTTTGTTAGTCTTTAAGGTGCTGCTAGACTATTAGTTGTTTTTCAAGTTTTTCCAGGAAAATAAAGGTTTGACACTATTTAAGCAGAAAAAGAAGTCATGGTAGTTTTTGCAAAATGTAAATGAAAGATGAACATTACATAAATATTGACCGATTAGAGATGCACCTCTATGGAATCGATTTCCATTAGTGGACAGAGAGATATGCATTTCTAATCGGGAGTGTGACATTCACATTTTGGCTTTGTCTACACATTGATAAGATATGGGATGTGGATGATAATGAACACTAGTGTGCTATGCAGTAACTCCGTTGTTGTGGGGACAAACTAAAAGGTATCTCTTTTGTGTTAATGTAGTCCTAGTTAAACAGCGATATGTTAATTCAAACTAGCTGCCTTTTGGTATGTGACCACAGAGTCCCCACAGAAGAGTGACTCTGCTGCAGGCTAGTACATGCTGCAGTCCCCATAGTCTGCACTGCAGGACTGTGTAGACAAGCCCTTAGAAACTAATGAGTCTCAGTGATTTCACTTGAGCCATTTAGTTGACAGGTGAATTTGATCCTAGATAGAGATTTCTATGCAAGTCTGTAGAGCGGGAGAGTGAAACTAGTTCTGCCCATTTCAGGACATCTATTTGGGAGAGCACATGTTGTATCCTCTCATGAGACATCTCCTTGGCACTCTTCTTGCTCACCCCAAGAGCAATAAGACTATCTACTTATCTAGATTAGGTACTTTGATGGCCCCTATCTCCATAATATATAATCCCTCACTGTCTAGCTCTAGCATTATCTTCATAATGTGCCTGTGAGAGAGACCCTGTTTTTCAGATGGGGACCTGGGAGATTAAATGATTTGCCCAAGGTCATCCAGGAAGCCCTGTGGCAGAACAGAGAACTGCATCCAGATCTCTCATATCCTAGGCTAGTGCCCTTCTGTTCATTCATCCTCATTGCACGAGTGTTTTTCTCCAAATTTCCTGTTGATATACCACCAGCACAGTTCCATCAGGCTAGTAGCTACTGGCATTTTGACTGCTGTGTGGCCTAACCACATTCAGAGTAGTTGAAAATATCAGAGACCCACAGATACCTTGTGTCTACTAGTGCTCCCATCATTTCTTCTCTCAGCTTAGCTATACCATGCTGTTTGGGGAAATTGGATGAAAAATGCTTCATTAGATGAGGACTGGGAGGAACTGTGCTTCCACTAGGACAGTGAAGTTTTTTCAGTGCTCCCTATACAAGCCAGATCCTATAAGATGCAGTCCAATCCTGAGTGTGTGTGAAAGCACACAGTAATGACCTTTTTAAAGGGTTCAAACTTCTTAAATGATCACAAGTTTCACTCCTGGTGAGTATAATTTGCCTGGTTGGGCAACATCAAAGCCCCTGGTTTAATTTTTTCAATTTCCTGGGCTCTTGATGTGAGGAAGATTCTTACCTGATCAGATCCTTCTAAAACAGCCCGTGTTTTATTTCTGTGCAATGAACCATCGTTGTTCGTTTGATCAAGGTAAATGTTTCAAACTCTTTGAAATACAGAATGATTTATTTCCCTTTTGCTTTGCAGAACAAATGGGGTAGAAAAACTTACTGGTTTTTTTTTGCTTCACTTGGACATGTGTCTACCACTAATTGCTTTGCAGGATTTTGCAGATTGCAACAGATTTGTTTATCAAATGGTATCTGAGTTTCATTGTAGTGTGGCAATTGAAGTAGTTTACTCTCTAGTGAGTACTTCTCTTAATTAATTGCATTCTTTAGATAGAAAATTCATAACCATGCAATCTAAATCCAATAGTTCTGTAAATTACAGGGGAAAGCTGGTTTAATTATAATCTTTGTAGTTCATATATATAATTACTCTTTTGAGGTATTGAGCTTCACTAATCTAACTTTAATTCTTTCTATAGAATTCAGTAACATGATTTAAGAGAGAGATTTTTTTCTCTACTTAATCTTTTTTTTCTCTGTACTTACGCTCAGTGTGCATCATACTGGGCACTGCTAATGAAGAAGAACAACAATTTAGTCCGATGAGTGTTAGATCAGAAAGTGGAACATAGTCAAATTTACTTTCTAGCTACTCTTGTCCTAAGCATAGCCCTTTAACAGAAAAAAATCATTAATTCCCAGAACAGGCTTCTAAAATGGGCAAAAATGTTGGCTAAATCAAGAAGGGGCCCTAAATTCTGACTTTTTAATATGAAATTGAGAAGTCAATTAAAGGTTACGTGGATTGCCTTTTTTCATTACCGTTAGCTTTATATATATACATCATTATGGTCTTTAAGATGTTTCTAACTTTTATCAAAATAATAACATTGAGCTAGGGATGTTAAAATTAGATTAATCAACTAATTGAATAGTCGATGGAATTTCCATCAACTATTTGATGAGTCAATAAGGGCACTTCCGCTTTGAAATGTAGCAAGAGCCCCAGCAGGGGGTCTTGTGCATTTCAAAGATGGCAATGCTGCATGGAGCTTTGGGCCAGCAGGAACTTAGAGTCTCCCGCTGGCCCCAACCTCCATGAAGTGCTTCCCCTTTGAAATGCCATGTGAAGCCCAGGGCCTGCGGGGGACTCTAAGTCCCTGCTGGGGCTCTTGTACTGCTGGCCTCGGGCTCCATGCGGCGTTTCAATCTTTGAAATGCACAAGACCCTCTGTTGGGGCTTTTGTACATTTCAAAGGGGAAACGCTTTCATGGAGCTCGGGGTCAGCGGAGGACTGCTGGTCCTGGGCTGCAAGTGGCATTTCAATCTTTGAAATGCACTAGAGCCCCTGCTTGGGCTTTTGTACATTTCAAACGTGGAATGCCACCGCTGCGCCCCTGCCTCCTATCACGGAGCTGGGGGGAACCGGCTTTTAAACCGGCTCACCCCAGCATCCCCTCCTCATCCCCCACCTTGCTACCTCTTTCTGATAGAGGCAGAAAGGTGGGGGAAGCAACTATTCAACTTGTGTGTCGACTATCCAGTAAGCTTTTGTTAATTGGATAGTTGACTAGTCGATTAGTTGCTTACATCCCTACATTGTGCCAGATTCTTGACCAGACTGCTCCATTGGCCTCCAGGGTGCTACGTTGATATACAGCACCTGAGGATTTGGCTCCTTGTTTTACCTTCTTTCATAATGTATTTTATATTTGATGATGCAGTCTTAAAACACATTACGTAATTAATATATATTATCTGAAGCACTTTAAAGCCCAGTGCTAAAGAAGTAAATCAAATTATTTCTTCTAAAGTGTGCATTTTTAAAATAGAGAACCGCATGTGATTTTATATATTCAGTATTCATCTTAAACTCTTCCTACTCACAGATGGTGGCAGCAGAGGCAAAGGAGAACAATTCCCTTATGAGCAAGAAATCAAGTTCTTTGCCAAAGTACAGTATATCTTTGCTTATCTCTTTTCAGTGCAGAAATTGAACTGCTTGTTAAGAAGCATGTTCTTGTTATATTTGCATTTGTCTATGTTAAATGAGTATTGAATTTTATTGTTATATTGTTGACAAATGAAAAGCTACTTGAACATACTATCATATGAAATACATCTATGAAAAAAATACATATTTTCTCTCTTAAATTCCCTTTATCGCCTTTCTTTTCAGTATGCAACATATCATCCTGGTATACATAACCATTTTCCCTATAATGTTTTAGCCTAGTTATGTAGGAAGATAGACTGTATCTCTGTTACGTAATCTGTATGCAGTTAATGTTAGCTATACTTGGAGAAAACATAGCTAGATATTTACCAATGTCACCTTCCTTCTTTCTTTCCTTGTTTTAAAACTATCTTGATGTCTGGTTGTGCCAAAAAGGATTTATCTTTTATACATTAGGAAATTATTTTTATTCCTTTGGCACACATAAGCTTGCCTGGTGTGTGCACATTCAAGGTGCCTTTTTCAATCCATAAATGAATAAGTAGACAGGTGTTGCAATATTCTCTGACCCTGACTCCCTAGCAGTAAATTACAGTCTTTGTTCTATAAAGTACTGTCACACAATACATCACCATCTGCAATTTCATCCACTGGGGAGCTCATGTTGGCTTTTCCTTTCAAAATTATTCCCAGGTGGAATAAGAGTTGGAATTTCTCTCTCTCTCTCTCTCTCTCTCTCTCTCTCTTTCTCTCCATGGTTAAGCACATTTTGCGGAATAATGGGAATGATTGGAGAAGCTATTTGTTGGGGAGAGCTTTTTGCTGGAGATGGAGTTTTGCAGGGAGCTGCTGTCAGGCTGGCTCCTCTTTTGATTAGATTTTTTAAGCTATGTCAAAGAGATCCAGAGTAAATAACATTTCCCCCTTCATATCCATCTTAAAATTTCAGGGACCAAATTCCTGGAGTAAAGTAGAAATTTACTTTAGTGCATGTTTTTGATTGACATCTGAAATACTTGTTTAAAAGGGGGGATTTAAAGAGAAACAGAATTTAAAAAACACATTACATGTGAAGAAATCCCTTCTGCCATGAAATTGTGATGTGAAATGAATATTCTGAGCCACAGCACAAGAAGCTGTGAGCTGATCATTTCTGTCTTTCTCTGATGTATTTCAGGTTGTGCTCCCTTTAATCGATCAATATTTCAAAAATCATCGACTATATTTCTTATCTGCGGCAAGCAGGCCTCTCAGCACTGGTGGACATGCCTCTAATAAGGAGAAGGAAATGGTGACAAGGTAAACATAAATAAAGAACAATAGTTGATGTGTAAGCAGGTTTTAGATGAGTAGGTAAAATAGCCTTATAGAAACACAAATGACCTAAAATTGTGCACTTTTTCCCCTGTATTCAGATGGTTCATTGATGTTAGAAGGGAGAATGCACAGTCAAAAGTATGCATGTGTTTGACTATAAATCCCTTATTATTATTTTTTTAAAAACAGTGGCTGTTATGCAGGTGGGCAGGAATGTAAATTTACTTTCACATATAGCACAGAAAAATACTAAGACTATGCAAAAATTGTTATTCGTGCAAAAAAGACAAATATGTTGAAGAACAAAATTTAACCATGGCAGATTGTAAGAACATACTCTCACTCTGCTCTGATAAGACTCAAGATGTTCTGTGTATAATGTAGGCTTGCAACTTTTCTGGGGCTTTCTTAAAAACCAGGAACACGACGTAAGTCTCATCCCAATCCCTTCTCCCCACATTTTGCCCTTAGGCTTTACCTCAAGATACCTTTTTGTCTTATGTAAGCTCCTTATTACTACTTCCATTTACTCCAAACCAGAGGTTCCTAAACTGTGGAGCAAGTCCTCCTAAGGGGCAAGGAGGAATGTCTAAGGGCATGTGGCAAACACAGGCCATCCCCCATGGGAAGTGGGAAAGTAGCACCACTCAGCCCCTCCCTACTCCCAACTCTGCCCAGGTCTTGCTCCTACCTGCATCCCTGGCTTCCAGCCTGTCCCTTTCCTGATTCTTAGCATGGCTCTGCTCCTGGTGTCTCATAAGCCATGGCTACTGGCTATGTCACCTTTCCTGGTTTGAGGCCTGGAGTGGAGCTGTTCTGGCCCCAAACTCACACCCAGCTGTAGCCTGAGACTCAGCCCCCTTATCTGTGTCCCATGTTCCTCCACCTTAAGGTGTGGACTGCAGCTCTCAAAAGTTTGCAGATGGCTGCTCTGTACTAAGAATGGAGTTACAGTGATCCAGAAAGAATCAAACAGCATATCTAGCTACCATCTTGGCCAATGCTCTCCAGAGCTAAAAGCATGAGCTGCTGCAGTTGGAGCTTAAGTTCATTAGCTGGGGCTTTCACAGATTCATGTCCTCTGCAGATCAGCATAGAGAGAAGACTGTAACACAAACTCACCAGAAGATGACAGAGATACATAGGTTTACATGTTTACATGAGGACTATTCTCTGATAGTCTTATTGAACATGACCCATAATAGTTGGCACATTAGAGCAAACAAATGATCCATTTAGTCTGATATTTTGTTTTTACTGGTGCTTTGTGTGGGGTTCTTCAAGTAACTTAAAAGACACCATAACATACGTGACCAACCATCTATTAATTAATTCGTTCTTGATGCTGAATGCTTAAGAGCAATAAAACTCCATCTCACAATTCTGTGCCATGAACTCACTATCCAAAGATTTAAGGGACCTTGAGAAAGACAAAGTAAACCTCAAGAAGGGAACGTTTAGTTTCAGCATTGGGATTGGGAAGGGATATGAGATTCACCACAGCTGTTTTTTATTAACTATTTTCAGTTTTCTTTGGCTCCTGGCCTCACATAGGTTTTTCCCAGGATAGAAAGACAGTTTGTTTTTTGAAACACCCAACACAACATATGTTTTCTTTTTGCAAGAAAAGTGGATGAGTTTTCAACTAATAGTAACAATACAGTGATTTGTGTAGGCAAATCCAAAAACCACGCAGTGCTCAGCACACACACAGAGCCTTGGACATCAAATCTCGTGTTAATTAAGTGAATGTGGGCCGGCACACGGAGGTTAAGTTTATAAAGTACTATGGGATTATTAATTTCCACCTGATTAGTGACCAGAATCTGACAGAACGGGCTTTGATTTGATGTCTTCTCTGTTACGGCCAGCCCACCTCGCAAAGCAGCCTATCTTATTCCTGCTATTTATTAGAATTGATTCTGGATGTGATCCCAAGTATCAGGCCTTTGGATATGTTGCCAGCTTGGTTGTACTAGGCATGCCGAAGATGCTTCATAAACTCAATTCCATCCTCAACTATATTAGCACAGCTTCCACTGAAGTTAATGGGTGTTGCGGTCATATGCTGGCAGGAGGAAAAGATTGACATCTATTTAGTGTGTTTCTGTTTAAATAAAAATGAATTATATATGATGATAACATACTTTGGAAAAACTTTTCTTGGTGGACTAGATGGGATGGGGAGTGGATAACAGGTATAGCGTGTCTTTCACTTTGACATCATTGGTTGCAATTAGGCCCACGATGCTGGGGGCCAAATGAAATGATATTCTTAATGCAACTTCTAATGGCCGAAGGTCTTCGCCCCACAACATTACATCACAGTAGGCACCCATATACACCCTGAGCAATATTCTTTGAGGAGCAAAGGATTGAATTGGGTCATGAAGAATGAACTACAGGCAGCTTCCCCCCAGCAGACTAGGGAGATGCGAAGCTAGCGCGTCCCCCTCCCCCCGCCCAGCAGACCAGGGAGAGGTGGAGCGGCTTTTCTCAGCAGACACCTCAGCTTGAGAATAAAGCCTGAGGGAAGTGAGGTGTGGGAGAATAAAACTGAGCTCTGGAGAAATGTTTGGCTAGAGTTTCCCCTACAATATGTACCAGTTCCGACTTACATACAAATTCAACTTAAGAACAAACCTACAGTCCCTATCTTGTACGTAACCCGGGGACTGCCTGTACTGTGTTCATGGAGATCAAGGTTGAGTCAAAGGTTGGGAGGGCCGTGTGGGGAGGTTTGCACTGATGTTTTCTTTCCTCTGACTAAACAATAAACATTGTTATCCTTTGCTCCCAACTGCGCACCCTTCACCCCTATTAAAATTAATTTAAACATATTAAACACAATCTTTGGTCATATCTACATTTTGTTTGATTTAGCCACGTAAATTTTTGTCTCTTTATTTTTAGTCTTAAATAATTTAAATTAAAAATGTTAGTGAATATTTTTTTTTAAATTATCTAATATATTAAATATTATTTGATACAAATTGGTCTAATTAAACATTTATCAACAGAAAATTCAATTAATCTAATTTTCTTACATTTCTCTCCATTTTTTTAATGATATTCTGAGTAGCCCACTGACTGTATTTGAGTTTGTAACACATTGATGGTTTTTTCCTTGTGGGTTTTCATATAGAATGCTTTTATATTACTTAGCTTTGCTTTCTGTTTTTTTCTTTAATTAAAATATGTGCTTATTTAACCATGTTTGTTAAGATATACACTTAAAATCTCTTTCTTTAGTACTCAGTCCCACATTCTGCTTAGAGAATTTCTGCGTGACATCATGTTGCTTTTTCCTGCTCATATATCAGCTGTTACTTTTCTTTCTTCTTTCCTCCCCCCATTGTTTTTTTTATTCCTCCCCCTTCTCTTTATTTTTCTTTTGTCTTCAGCCTGTTCTGCAAACTTGGAGTTCTTGTCAGGCATAGGATTTCACTGTTTGGTAAGGAGACCCTTGACAAATACTAGCATGGCCATCACTTGGTTTTCTTTGCCATTTTTGCGTTGTGTTATGTGCTGCCTTGTTGCATGTTGAATGGCTGCATGGCTGAATGTATGGTCTTCATGGGCTACTAATGATTCTTTAGGCTGATAGATCACAGCACTATTTAGATGGAGAAAAGATTTTTTGTAGTAATAAAAAAGGGAGTGTGCAAATCAGATTGGGAGGTGATCAATTCCCAGGCTCATTGTCCTACCAAAGAACAGAATTCAAACATCATAATTATAAAAGTATTTGCCGCTTTATAATGATTCAGTACTGACCTGCTAACAGTGAAACAGATTAGCATTTGTCTATTTTTGATTTCTGAAAGTCACTAAAGTAAAGTCTGTTGTGGGCTGAAATGCTTAGCTGATTTTTCATGGAATTCTTCCATACTCTCAAATGTGCTTGACTCTAGATCTGCATGTCTATCATGTTTCAGACATCACTTGCCTATAAAAGGGTTGGGGTGCGTCCTCAATTTCTATCTTATGAAAATCACTTAATTGTCCATCATTCACTCTCTGCAGCCTTTTCTCATGTCATGCTGATGTAAGGTTGGCTGAAAACATGTCCCTATGTACATATCTTCTTTATTGGGAGCAGCGCTGACCACAGCATCCATGATTATCCATTTAGATAATTATCTGGATTGTATGAAGAGGGCTTTGCAGGAGCCATGTGATAGAGGGACAGCTGCCACAGTGGAAGCTGAACCTCAACTATTGGTACATCGTTATTAGGAAAAACGGTTCTTAATCTGAGTTAGCTAACACTTAACACAATTAAGAGTAATTAACACAAAGTAAAATGCTTGTAAATATACAGAGCAGTCTATATTTTCTGTGTGTGTTGGCAGTTTCAATTAAAGACTGGAGGAGCCTAGAGTTTTACATTGGACTGCTAACTCATGAGGAAATCACAAAATATCTTGTCTTTCCTAGAATTTGTTAGCTAACTTCAATTAAAAACTCATGGTTTTTCCTACTGGAAACAAGACTTTTCTGGAAGAGGAAGAGCTCCACATGCAGTTATAGGAGATACAGTCAGGCTCTAGGAATTTTCTTTGCTTCTTTTGTGTTTAGAATGTGTGTTTGAATGGACAAAATAAACTTAATTATAGCTTCAGTGTGAGACTTGCTATTGACTGAACATTAACTACATCCACTGTATTGGTATCCCTAAATCTTTACAAGTTGATATCTGGGATTGGACATCAGGGAACGGATCACTCAGTAGATTGCCCTGTTCTGTTACTCCTTCTGAAGCATCCAGCCCTAGCGACTGAAGGCAAGATACTGAGCTGGACAGAGCATTAATCTGGCCCAGTATGGCCGTTCCTATGAATGGTGTGGGATATGCATACTGCTCCCAAAGGCAGGTTAGCATATTGCGTTATAGTAAAAGGAAAGTCAGTTGTAAAATGGGGGGAGGGATAGCTCAGTGGTTTGAGCATTGGCCTGGTAAACCCAGGGTTTGAGAGTTCAATCCTTGTGAAGGCCATTTAGGGATTTGGGGCAAAATTTGTCAGGGGTGGTGCTCAGTAATGCTGTGAAGGCAGGGGACTGGATTCAATGACCTTTCAAGGTCCCTTCCAGTTCTAGGAGCTAGGCAATCTCTATTAATTTAAAAGCTCTGTGACCTTAATTGTGTGTAGAGGGCCATACAAAATTAGAAGTTAAGCATGATAGTTTGCCAGATAGAAAAGCCTGAATTGTGTTAACCACACTGGATTACTGTGTCCGGAAGTCTAGATGGGCCATACTGCAAATGCCACTCTTGGGGCAGCCTGAAAGAAATAGGACAGACAGTTCCCTAAAACTTGAGGTTTATTGTGTCAGAGTCACAAAGCCAGTAACAAAAGATCTTCTGTAGTACCACACTGGTTAAGAAGAAGACAAAGTATGACCATGGAAGCTCATGATACTATTTATATATTTTGTAGTCTAAGGTACTACTGTACCATTGTTGTTTAAGGTATTTTTTTAGTTAGAGACTAACACAGCTACCCCTCTGAAGTGCCCTTTAGGCATTTCAGTCCTTGGCTTCCATTTAAACAAACAAGTCTAAAATAGTGTAAGGTTACTGAAAGCCGTATTCATCATACTTACAGTTCTTCCAGTCCCAAAGGCTCAGACATTTATCCTCAGGTCAACACGTATTATAGATCTTACTTATATAGCACACTGTCTGTCAATCCTTCATAAACTAAATAAAGATTTATTAATAACAGAAAAGGGAATTATTAACTAGTTAAGGAATCAAATAAATAAAAGTGATTTTCAGTGTTCATAGTTCAGAATAACAATAGCGATGCTGTCTGCTGGTTTGCATAAGTCTCTTTGTAATCATCTTAAAAATCCAAATGCAGTTTAGATGTAAAGTCTGCTAGAAAGGTCCAATGCATTCCCCAGGGCATTTCATGTAAGGACTTGGAAGAGCTCATTCCTACAGCTTAAATTTTCACTGTTCAAAGTTTAGCAGACTAGAGATGAAAGGATCGGGTCTGAAGTTTCTCTTTGTAACTGAAACAGGTTTTTCAAGTGCTTTGAGAACAGCATGTGACTGGGGATTCTTCCTTCTTGAGCACACACTCATCACTTTGAAGTTAACTCTCTATTTAGTATGCATACACAGGTAATCTAGTTATAATTAACGTAAGATGAATGCTAATCCTACCTTTTATCATGGATAAATAAGACGAAGACAAAAAATGAAATATTGTTATTTTCATACAGTGTCTCGCATCTTTGATCTTAAGATAGACTGAACACACTCCCCTACATAATGTAAAAACAATTAAGACATGAAAAGGAATTAGCATCTACAAGCTAACTTGGTTATATTGTTAAACTTCTAACAAGATACAAGCAAACACAGATTTAGTATCTACCCTTGATTTCTATTACTGCATATTAATGGGTGAATGCTGGTCTCTTCAAAAATCACATACAGGTTAATTGTTCTGGTACAATTAGAAAGCCTCTTAGTAAGTGGTTAGGGGTCATATACAGGTTACCTGTTGTACCAGTGTTACAGTTACTGATATTTTTATTAAGGTTATTCTTCAGCACAGAATTACTATATGCTGATTATTGGATAACTGAGGTTTAACAATGATAATTTACTGTTTTTGAGAGTTGTATTTGTGCTATCAGGAGATTACATTTATGCAATTTCATTATTAATGGGCTGAGCTTTCCATGCAATTATTTTCCATGAAATGAGCCTTTGGAACGATATTTTCCCCATTTAAAAAGCAAATTTCTATGAAGTTTAATTTACTTTTCAATAACGTTTAACTCTGGTATGAGATGTTTTCTCTTTATTTTCAGTGGTAATTGTGTATCAGCCCAATTCTTCATTCTCACTGTTGTTGACAAAGTGACATACAATCTGATACATAAGTTAGCCATGCAGTAAATGACCAGATTTATCCCATTCGCTTCCTTTAATAGAGTGGATATTACCCAGGAGATAACTCTTTGGTAATATAAAATAGGTATGGATGCTGTTTCTGCCTGAATATTTGCTCCTTTCTGGGAACCAATACAAATCCTTACATTAAGAATCATGAGATTTTGAGTGAAGGGTGTTAATACTGAATTTAATCACCAAGATCAGTTCTGGAATTATCTAAGATTTTTCTACAAGGTCTCCCATTTTAGAGCATGTGTATATTGCAGTGTTATTTCGAAACAATTGATGTTATTCCGAAATAGCATAGAGTGCATCTATACTACAAGCCTTTATTTCAATAATGTCAATCTGGAGGACTTCTTACTCTGACTCCTGTAACCGTCATTTTATGAGGAGTAAGGGAAGTCAAAGGAGGAGTGTTCTTGCTTTGACTTCCTGGTGTGTAGATAACGCCTGAAGTCGAGTTAAACTATTTCAACTTAAGCTATGCAATTGACGTAGCTGAAATTGCATAGCTCAATTCAACTTTAAACCTGCTGTGTAGATGTACCCTAACTGCTCCTTAAGCCCAATTAATTTGCTTATGAGATCTGTTGTGATTGGTTGTACAGCTTAGGCTACATTCAGCTACCTTGGGCTTGTCTCCACTACCGTGAGACTGACACTGATACACCTATCCCATAGAACTGGAAGGGACCTTGAAAGATCATCGAGTCCAGCCCCCTGCCTTCACAGCAGGACCAAGTACCATCCCTGACAGATTTGGCCCAGATCCCTAAATGGCCCCCTGAAGGATTAAACTCTCAACCCTGGGTTTAGCAGGCCAATGCAATCAATCCACTGGGGTCCATTTATTGGGTCTAGTGAAGAGTTGTTGGATTGAATGTAGATTGCTCTCCAGTAATCCACTGGACTGAGAAAGCATAAAGTAATTTGAAGAAAGAGTTTCTCCCATCAACCCAGTATAGTGTTGACATCGCAATAAGTCAGCCTAAGTTACATTGATTCCAGCTATGTTTTTCACATAGTTGGAATTGTGTAACTTAGGTCCACTTACCCCTGTTGTATAGACCTGCCACTAGCGATCACACAGGTTCTAAGAATGTTTGTAGCCTAAAAGCCCATTGAACTCTTTTTAAAGTAAACATTTTTGTACTTGCAATTTCTATTATTCCCTTTGGCAGTTAGTTATTTATACAGTTCCTTTAAGGTCTAGTGTTTTTTTAGCTTTGATTATGACCAATTGTTTCCAAGTATTTTGTCATGGAAAGCCTATGTTATGGATTAGAAGAGTGTTCTGCATTAGGCTCTACTGCTGTGCTTTGGCTACAGGTCTGTTTGGGTAGATCTACCACAGCTGTGTTACTGCTGTAGAACTTTTTGTAGCATCAGAAGTTACTTAATTATAAATTATAAATTTCAAGTATTATAACTCATTTTAAAAATCACGGCCATCTAAAATTTGATACAAATTTTGGTTTAGTCTTCATTCATTTAGTGGCCTCTGTATCGATAGTGATATCTATAGCGATATCGATATCTATCTAAATAAAAGCAAAGACACCCACATTGCTTTTTGTGCTTTTATTTCTTGAAAATAAGTAAACACTCTAAGTCTAAAGATGTGCAATGCCCAGAATTCTCACTATCCTTGCTCCTATGTTTGAGAAGCAAATAGGGTGGTGAAAAAGTTGCGTCAAAAGTAAGACCCAACTCATATAAGTAAGAGCATAATTTTCTTTCCATCTAGGCTGGACAATTATGGAGGAGAGGAGCATACTTGCTAATCCAAAAATTATCTAATTTGTAATAGGTGTCCTGATCTCTAGCAGTAGTTTTACTATAACTTTGAGTGTAGTAAGAGCTGAGGTATTTTGAATACTTTTTTCCAAACTAGGTCCAAAAAAACCATCTATGTACTTTGCTCTTCACAGTCTTAACAATTCAATTTTCCTTGGCTACATCCTGACTCAGAACCAGAGCTTTGAAAATACCTTATGGGAGTTTCTTCTCACAATATTTCCATTGAAACAAAATAAGAAAGTACTGGAAATTTCATAATGAACCTCAGCTTTGCAAACTGTACAGTCACGTTTCCAGAGCAAAGAGGTTCAGATAGGCATCTCAACTTCATGTGCTTTTCCAAATACCTGAACTATTTGAAATTAACAGATCACTAGATATTGGTGATGCTATGTTATATTTGGGAAAACATAGTTGTGGGGGAAGGCTGTAGCCTTCAGTTGCTGCTGTGCTAATTTGCATGAGGAAGGTGTTAGTACTGGAACTGAAGCACATAAACCAGTCTTCCAGAAATGTGTTCTGATTACCATTAGGAATGGTAAAATTTATAGATGTCAAAAAGTTGCAGTTCTTGTGATCTTTTAATTCTATCCTCGATTACTAAGCTTTCTTTAAAAAAATCACCCTTTTCTGTTACCAAAATATAGGTATCATAGATTGCCTACACTGTATATTTATTTATTTTTTACAAATATACTGCCCTACCAGTGCAGGATTCAGTTAACTAGTGAGATGTCTCATTTCAATAGATTGCATCCATTTATGCTAATGACCACCTTCCACGTTTAAGTGTATGGGGGTGCTATTTGACTGGCCGGCCAAGTGAGAGGAACGGTGTTTAATGGCTAGAGGTGGGAGAGATAAAAACTGCTGCAAAAGGATCAGCATAGTTGCTGACTCAGTCCCCAGGAATGCAAAAGGGGCAGCTGTGTACCTGCAGCCTTCTTTTTATATGCTGTAGGCTGAAACAGGACTCTCCCTCCCTCCCCTGTAGGTGATAAAATGCCAGATTTAGTCAAGACTCCGCTATAGGCATTGTGCTTGGGGGCTACAAAGGATTTTTTGCCTTACCACCATATTGGCATGTATGCAGTTGGTTTTTTCCACCTTTCCCACAGTGGATTCGGGAAGGGTTTTGTTCACGCATGCCATGAAGGACAGCAGGCTATATGTTACAACTCATTATTTAAGTGTAGCATGAATAGTCAGTGCAGGTACTCCATAGGGAAGATGTATAGTCACTGGATAAATGTCTTAGAAAAGGACTTAAAAGAGGTGTTAGTGAAAGGAACAAATGAGAGGTGGTTGAGGACTCCTGTGATTGGTATGGCAAGTCACCAAACCCCCATTCTTATAGCCAACCTTAACCCTCTGGTAATGGATTTTCAGGAGAGGCATAGATGGAAAAAGAGGGGGAGCTGGTAACCCCACCTGAGTAATTGCAGAATAAACATGGGAACACCTGCACCATACCTTTTTATCTGTCAGATAGTCCCAGATAGCTAATAATAAAGTTGTGGCTTGATGAAACTCATGCCAAGTGTCTCCTGTCCTTTCAGTTTAGCAGACAATGTTTGACTTTGTGCTTTTATATGTCATGCTTAGAAAGCTTAATACAAAGCATTAGATGGACGACTGCAAGAATTGTGAGAAGTATTTGTGTTACTTTTCAGGAAGATACATCTGTGATGTCAATGATCCCACAATAGTTCACTTCATCTTAGCTGTTACATTCTGGATCTATCATCTTTAACATCTTATAAATGTTTGTCTCTTGTATCACTGAGGCAGCACCAAACTGAGCACATTAGATACTTTTTATCTGAGGAAAAGAAAAGAAATGTTTAGATAAACTTGAATCGCTTTGAATGAAATTTTAAACTTAAATGAAATACACACAGTACACTGCAGCTCTAATTAACGTCACATGTAACTGCTTCATGAGTGCTTGAGTTGTTTGAGGAAAAGATGCTTTGAGTGCCTCAGCTATTTGATGAGAGATGCTTTTATTGTCCCTGGTATCTGCATCTGTGTAAACAAAGTGAATGTAACAAATTGCATGTTTTTAACTTGACTGTTAAAATCATGTAAAAGCTGAATTTTGCCTCTGCTGTGTCATTTACTGCTTCCCGGAAAATGACAAATGTTAACAAACATAGGACTGCTTTAATACAAACTCATTTTAATTAGTGGCTCTTTCTGCTTTCTGTTTAGGAAATGATGCGACATCGATAGTCAATTGTCTTCATATACTTGGCCAGACTTTGGATGCAAGGTAATGTTGAATACATTTTCTAAAGTATAAACAAAATCACTTAAAAAGGAATAACACGTGTACAGTAGGATTTGGGGGCTGATAATCTGTAAAAGACAACAGAATTTCTTAAATAAAAAAGGATTGTTCTGCTGAAAAATCCCATACTGAATGTTGCTTCATTATTATTCTTGATAACCCAACAGATTGGTAACACAGTATACAGGCAGTCCCCGACTTACGCGGATCCGACTTATGTCGGATCCGCACTTACGAACGGGGCTTTCTCGCCCCGGAGGTCGAGGTGGCAGATTGCTGCCTGCGAGCTCCAGGGCGAGAAAGCCCCGTTCGTAAGCTGCTCCCGGTGCCCCTGGTCTGCTGGAGACCGTCTCCAGCAGACCAGGGGCACCGGGACTGAAGCAGCAGCAGCGGTGGGTTCACACGCTTCTGAGGCTTTCTGCTGCAGACCAGGGGGCCCGGGAGCCGCG